ATTTTCTGTTTACTTTTATGGAATGGATTTTCTTCTTTTCCATAGTTTATTTTGCCTTTGTTAGGTATAGATTACAGTACTTTTATTTTATCAATTTGTTGACTTTGGCATACAGTACTGTTTAATAATTATATTTTGTATCTATTTTATTTAATTTCTGCATTTAACTTTTGCTTTTTATGATGTACCTTTATGTTTAATTTGTTAATTGTAAATAAGGTATCTCACGGCCATAATGAAAAACAGCATTGTATTTGTTGATTTGTGCTTCGTATTTGTGATTTGTGTGAATAAATATAGTTTTTACTACTACTACTATTACTACTTTAAAATAAATTTATAAAAATATAAACATTTTAAAGCTTGTTAAAACTGGCAGTCAAAATTGTTTATAAAAAAGAATTATAATGGGTTTTAAACAATCATTAAAACAGAGTCGTTGTTTACACTTGTTGTTTAACTGTTATTTATTTATTATTCATTCATGGTCTTACTCCTTCTTTGCCAAGCTCTTTTTAGGCAAGACTTTTAGAATTTCTATCGAATGTTATACTTATATCATTATTATTTCTATAGAATTTGTACATTTCGTGTTTTGGTATTTAAATCGCTAGAAAAAAACAAATTCCAAGCAAACTGACCATCCACTAGCTTTACATTCATCTACAAATGTCATTAATTACTGACCCGTACACAATAAGTGCTCTATATCCTCATTACCAGACTTACATAGTAGGCATGTCTCATTGGTATCCCTTATGTATTTGCTCACTATAGTGGTAAAATATTCGAGCATGTTTTAAATTTCAGAGAATAACCTCTTTTAAATCAAATTTATAAAGTGTCTAGTTGGTAAACGTGAGAAAGTAGTAGATGGTCCGATTGACCATCTTGGATTTGCCATCTCTGAGGGAAAAAAAAGGTAAGAAAATGCCCTCATTCTCCTTTGTTCAAAATATTAGGACAAGAAAATACTTTTTTTAAAATCTTGGCCAAAAATGTGTTCTTATAAAAAAAAAGTATATCTGGAAACCAAATTTCATATGAACCAAATTGTGCATGTTGACCAATAAATATATCTTGTATCTTATAAGTTTGTTATAAGTTTAAAATATGTCAATCCCTGGATATATTATCACATGGATATTATTCCGACATGCCATAGTGCATTTAGATAGCAACACTGAAGTTTAAGGTAATGGTTAGGGTTAAGCCAGCTCCACTGGCTGGGGCTCCACTGGCATCCACGATGGGAACTGAAACGGGGACACAGTCGCTACCACCAGTTCAGCCGACTGAACCCATCACACATGTCTGCCTTAATACCGGTAGTACTTTGAATATAATCATCCAGATGATGCCTGTATATATTTACGATCTATTTAGAGTTAAATTTTGATTATTGCTTGATCTGGGCCATTTACATCGTATGAGTCAATACTGTATACGATCGTTTGAAATTTCGGTACATAGTTTATTTCATGAACAAATACGTTAAGGAAACGTTCACAATTACGAGGAGGTACAGGTAAGAGTAGCACTCAATAAAATAGTAAAAAATCGTGCAATCCGATGTTTTTACACCAGTCTCCTTCGCTTTGACGGTGATCGCTTATTTACCAAGAATAAGATGAGCGCACATTGACATGGTTTTAGTGTACGACGTCACACTTTAACAGTCTAGGTCATGCTGATTGGTTGATACAGTACATGTAAAATGAATGATAACATGTTTTGCGTACTGCCTGACTGAAAAGAATGGGCTATACAAGTTGTAAATAATTGGGATTTGGAGGGAAAGCACCTTCCTGCCGCTTACAAAATCTAGTCGCGCTATCAAATGACCTTGTCGCACTGAGCGCGACAAAGTTGAATTCCTTGTCGCACCTTAAAAAATCAGGTCGCAAATGCGACCAAATAACCCTTAATTTAAGCCCTGGTGTGTATACAATATCTAAATTATTATTATTATTATTTATTATCAACCATCTTCAAATGCAATGACAAACAGATGTTCATTCACTATAAGAACAAACAAATTCGAATAAATAAACTAAAGAAGCGATTTAAAAAGTACCATCGATTTCTGTAAGAAAATAGGCATACTATAGATAAATCATAATATTTGATATAATAAATAAACAAACTAACTAAATATTATTAAGTCTTGATTTATATAGGCTATATATAAATTATGAAAGAAAATATACATTAATTTGATAATTAACAGTATTAATATCGAACTCTGATGCCCATAATTGTCCAACATACATTTTGCATACTGCACGCTTGGCGCTCCATACAAATTGCTGAGTATCGACTCGCGGCCGCTTCCCCTCGCGGCCGCTCCAACCTATGCAAGCCAAAATGGTTTTGGAAATTTTCGATTTTGTCAGTAGACGATCGGGCCCAATATTCAGTTTTCCCTAAAGACGATCGAGCCCACGAGATGATCAGGCCCAGGACGACGTTTTTGGACGATCGCCGGGCCCACTTTTGAAAAGTGGGCCCGATCGTTCAAAAACGGGCCCGATGTCTGTGACCGATCGTCTGTCACCCCTAACTAGGCCTAGGACTAGGCCGGCCTAGGTAGGCTAGCTTAGCCTGGACCTAGCCTTTCCCGGATCTCTAAAGAGTCTACCCAGCCTAGGGCAGGCTAGTCTAGGCCTATCCTCCTACATCTACCTTCTGCATTAGGCCGCTTAAGGCCAACTCAGACAGCGTCGGCCGACGCAGCCTGACCCGTCTTAAGCCTTCGTGAGAAATATTAAAGTTGGCCTTTTTAGCTGGCAACTAGATAGGAATGGGATTTTAATTTGGATCATTATATATTCTATAACAATTTCTCACCTGCAATAAGTGCCAACTTCAAACCAATCAAGCACAAACTACGGAGCAGCCTTTGTAACGCTCTCCCGATGCGTAGCCTACTTTTGTTCACGTTTTCGCCGAGCGCGTCGATGAACTTGCATGCTCTGGAAATGTTTGGGTTCCTGTTAGTCGTAGAGGGCAGTAGACCAAATTTTGTCTTTTTTTTTTTGTAATGCTTTCTTTTTTTTTTATACAAGGTACTCCTTTTTCAGACCTCTTATTTCTTGTTTTTCATCATTTCATGTTCATACTCATATATTTATTTATTTATTTATTTATTTATTATTATTACAGTATTATTATTATTATTATTATTATCATTATTCTATTATTATTATTTATTACTTTTTATTATTAAATATTTATAATTTTTATTATTATTAATAATAATATTATTAACATTATTAACATTATAATACTATTATCATTATTATTGTTATTATTATTATCATTATTATTGTTGTTGTTATTATTATTGTTGTTATTATTATTATTATTATTATTATTATTATTATTATTATTATTATTATTATTATTATTATTATTATTATTATTATTATTATTATTATTATTATTGTTAATTTGAGTAAAGACGAAATCGATTGACCCAGGGAATATATTATTAACGAATCAATTAACATAAAAAAAAAAAAAAAAACATTAAAGCAGATATTCCAATTAAATCCTGATGGTAGTAACTTTGGTATGATAATAAAAACTGAATATAATATTATTACATCTTCTAAATATTATTGCGATTTATTAGTGTAATTATCTATTAAAACAAATTATTTAATTTCATTAAACAATAGATAATTACGGTAATAAATATATAGTAATAATATTTAGAAGATATAAATCAAATTCAACTTTTATTTCGGAATCAGATATCCATATCAATACAATAATAAAAGACAAAAAAATATCAGATACAAAGACTATGCATTCAGGTGTAGGGACGTCACTTCCCAAGAGACGTTATCAATATTATATAATAATACTACATTCATTTTTTTTTTATCATACTAAAGTTTACTACCATCGGGATTCAACTGGAATATCAAACAGGTATTATAATGTAAGTGAGAATGGTATAAGTGCATTATATAGGCCTATATAATAATATTTGACGTGGTAATTCCGTTGTTTAAATTTAATTAATGTGGGAATTGAAAGTCAGCGTTTCATCGAGAGAAACATTCCTAGGAATTTAACTTCCGTTGAACGTTCAATTTTATTTTTGACAATGGTTGAAAATATAATTATTTGATAACTTCAGCTGTCTTGTTCCTAAGCCTAAATATCATATTTGGATTTATTTACATTTAATGTGTAACTTTGTGCTGAAACAGGTTGAGGGAATAGATAGTTCTTGGTTCATAGTTAGGAAGTCTTGGTTGATGTAGGCCTCCTTTTGACTGTAAAACCATGTTCGTATCGTCAGCATATATAATTAATTCAATATTTTTACAAGCATAGCTAATGCCATGGACGTATGCATAATAGGTTTACTTTATCAGAGGTCGAGAAAATTTAAAAACCGGGGGTACACGAATAGACACAGGAATTATTTCATACGGTAGTTAATGCAATTCATGAATTCAATGATAGCTTTGTCAGATAATTTAGTAGATAAGTACATTAATTATCGTATTGCGTCCTTTTGTTGTTTTTTGATGTTTTTAAATACTTATTAGGCCTTTTATTATTTTATATGTCTTCCATTGTATTCAGCAAGCAAAAAAGAAGTTTATCTATCACATGTTTGGTTTATGATAATAAAACAATTTTGAACTTGAATATTGATCCTTGTGGAATTCCATTCCCAATTATTTCCATGAAGTCAAGTCTTCAACATTATGTAATGATCCTTGAGGTAGTTGATAACCATGCCAGAGGAATTCTACAATAAAAGCTGCACAGTAGCAGCCCTTATATCTAACAAAATTGCATCAAACGATTTGGACAGATCAATAAATATACCTAATGTAAAGCTAGCTCATTATTTTCAATAGCGGTTGAAACTTCTTCAATGGACTGAAGGAAGGCAAGACTGGTTGAGTGGTTTTTCTAAACCCAAACTGATTTTTACTTAAGATATTAAATTTTGAGAGGAAAGAAAATGTATTTGTCATACACAATACGATCAAAGATTTTGAAAAGGCATGGAAAGATTGAAATTGGTCGGTACCGGTAATTGTTGAAGTTTCGTATCTCCAATTGGAATTACCTTTAAAATATCCGGAACACAGCCTGCCTATAGAAAAACATTAATAATATGTGTTTAGGGGATTCAGAGTGACTCGACAGGCAGTTCTGATAAGCTGGCTGCTTCTTATCATTATATCACGACCGGGTGAGTGTGTTCTTTAGATTATTAATCTTATTACCACCTTATGCAAGTTTGAAGAACATTGAAGAAACTTTTTCATTTACGATAAGAAAATTAATGTTGAGATTGGGTTGATTATCATTTCATTTATTAAGGTTTTTAATGCTAATAAAAATAAGGATTTAAAAGCGTCAGCATCATCTGTTTCGTTCGGGTCAACAGCACTCGACTTTCTTTGTACATCGTCATCTTCAAGTAGTCATTCTTCCTACCGGTCCTGGTTGGTCTAATAAAAATAGGTCCTAAAAATAAGGTGCGGTTATTAAGATTAAGCACAGAGAAGAAAATATTTGACCATGAAGACGCGAAATAGGTTACAATCATAGTTTATCTCTAATTGCCGATCGGTCTTTAATTGCCATTTTGGAAAGTTCTAGCTAGTTTATGAGACTCCAGAAAGATAGGGAATGTATTCATCTACCAAAATATGAGTTGGTGGTTTTAGATGCCAGTGAGTCAACAGACATTTCCGACGTGTCAATCAATTTTCATACTTTTTATTCATAATTAGTATACACTCACATAATCACATGTTTAGGCCTAGGCTAGACCTCGGCTATGCCTATTACTTTATTATTTAAATTTAAAATTTTAATAGATAAGATTAATTCAATATGGACATTGTAATTCATACTTAAACAGTGCATTAAATTTAAATATAATATATATATGTATATATTATATATATATATATATTTGATTTGATTTATTCGATATCAACAGAAAAACATTACTAAATCGGAACAACAATAAACAGAGAATTAACAAAAAAGAAAAAACAAGCACGTCATCATTGTTGATATCTAGGATAACCCTCTAAATCCCAACACAGCATTATATATAATAACGTTAACGAATAAATAACGATAATCAAAACGACATAGTATCAACTACTACAATAACATTAATATTTTTCAATTTTGTAATCAATTTTATATAGCCGGAGTTAATATTGACCTAGGCTACTATGGCTAACGACAGGTACGCTTTCTCCAATATAAAGGCCTTTTCTATGAATGGATTGTCCTGCACGCAACACGAACTCCTGTAGACCAAACCAGTACCGTTACGATTTTAATCGTGCGGGAAATATCCTCAAGATATTGTAGGCCTACGACGCTGAGCCATTCTCGCGAGGAAGGAGGCAGTGTCATAACTGTGCTATGAGCTCTCATAGGTGAGGTTTAAATACACAACATTATTCAAAAGTAGGCCTACGATAAAAGTAGACCTAATCTAAAATGGAAGTGGGCAACCCGTGTACATGACCTTTTATCCAAACTATATACAAAAATTATCTCGGCGTTTGTGTAATAAAACGGACACTCTTAGAATAATTCTATATTAGAAACTCGTTCCAACAGGCCTGAATGTTTCCTTTACATATATTAAAGTCTAGTAAAACGTATGATGTTTTCCTATAACAATAGGGAGTTTTCGATGCACGACGTTAACCTTAACTTTAACGGATGACGTCATAATTTATTCATCTTGCGTTGCGGAGTACGTAATTTCAGGATTTTACGTGCTCGACGTATGTTAGTTACGGGTTTTCGCATGCGTATTTCGATTTGTTTACAAAAGGAGCGGAGGTATCGCGCTGCATGCTGGGTACTAACGTTAACGTTAAGGTTAACGTCGTGCATCGAAAACTCCCTAATAAATTATACTGTATGCCGAGAATTATATATCAAATTACGTTTACATTTTTAATGATAAATATGCCTAATTTGTTTCATAGATTTTGATGCTCTCTAGTGGTCCTCAATTATATCGAATTTATCATACAAAGGTACATTTATACCAACTTTAGGCCCCAATACAGTTTATTATTAAGTGTTTTTAGATACCATTCATTAAGATTATAATTGTATAATGATACGCCTAATCTAGATGAATGATATCCTTATTAGGCCTACTGGCGTGAAAATATACACCGTCCAAATGATTTTAAAAAGAATTAGGGTTTTCGATGCGCGAAGTTAACCTTAACTTTAACGTTAGTACCCAGCATGCAGCGCCATATGATAGCTCCGCCCCTTTTGTAAACAAATCGAAATACGCATGCGCAAACCGTGACTAACGAATGTCGAGCACGTAAAATCCTGAAATTAACACTCCGCAACGCAAGATGAATAAAATATGACGTCATCCGTTAAAATTAAAGTTAACGTCGTGCATTGAAAACTCCCTATTTTTGAATTAGGCGCCTCTCGTACCACCCGGCTTCAATGATTCATATACAGTACCTTACACATATGTACATGTACATTGATAAATAAATGTGTTTACGTATATATTTTAATTAATCCTATATAATATGATATGCCCATACCGAATTTGCCATAATACTATTTATACTATGCACACCTTTTCTAATATTGACGTAATTATATATTAAAGATTATTGTTTCCTGTTTTCTAGCATTATTTAATGAATTAACGTTCTATTCAATATTCCTGGAATTTCAATTGAAGTTCTTTATTTTAATGTACCTATAAAGGTAAAATTAATCATGGGTGGGGAGAGGCAAACGTAGGTGAACTTCCTTACCCCAAGGACTCTAAAGCGAATTTCACAGCAAAGGTTCGAGCCTCTAACCACAAGGAAGTTAAGATACCAAAACGCAACGGCAGCGCTAAAGCGCTCAATAGGTGCATTCATAGGTGCATTCACAACGAATCCGAATTTTCGAATCGGAAAACCG